ATTTTCATAAAAAAATAAGTTTTTTTTTTGTCTTATGTTTTCTTGCGATAACTATAAAAATATTTTGTAAAATTCAAAAAAAAAAAAAAAAAATTGGAATAATTTAAAATTAATTACAAAATTATAGTTTTAAAATTCGAAATTTTTTTTTAATATTGCACAAGATATGAGTAAAGTATTTCTTTTGCACTACGCATGCGCGTAAGAAAATAAAAAAAAAAATGTTTCTTCCTAATTTTGCAGTGAATCGTATTTGGCAACAAAAGGAAAAAATGTGATTAAAATATCTTAAAAATGTAAGAAGTTTCAAGCAATTTTCTTAGCAGTTTTTGTACTTTTTAAAATAAAACTCAAAATAATCTGGGAGTTTTTCAGAAAAATTTTACTTCGCAGTAATTCCAATTACACTACTCTATAATTACTGCACAAAATGTGGAAAACCCCTTATCGTTTTGAACTTTCTTTTGAAAAGTACATAAACTATTTAGAAATTGCTCGATACATTTTACATTTTCAAGATATTTAAATCAAAATATTTCTATTAGTTGCCAAATACGATTCACTAAAAAATTCTGAGAAAATAATTTTAATCTTTTTCCACGCATGCGCAGTACAAAAGAACTACTTTAAATACTCATGTCTTGCGCATTTTTTAACGATTTTTCCAAATCTCAAAATAATATTTTTGTAACTTATTTTAAATTTCTCCAAGAATTTTGTTTAATTTTACTGAATATTTTTAAAGTTATAGTAAAAATATGAGACAAAAATAAAATTAGTTTTTTTTTTTTCATAAAAATGTTCATATCTCCCTAAATATTTAATCTAGATTAACGAAACTTTATACAGTCATTGCAAATGGCAACCAAAGTAATCGATACAAGGTACAAGCTTATTGCTCGATTTGACAAAAAAACTATTTTTTTTTTTCTTTTTTTTTCGTAATTTACTGTTGGTCCCTAAACCCCTGAAAGCTTTAAACTTTATTGAAAAGTATGAAAAATCGAAGTACCAAATACTTCTTAAGAAATGAAAAAAAGTATGAAAAACCAAAAGTGTCTCTACCATTATTGTAGGGTAGAGTGAAGAACATAAAAAGTAATTCTTGTACATAAAATGCTTATAACTTCTAAAGTATAAGTTCGATCGTCTAAGTAATTAGTCTCATTCCAAGAATGTCATTCAGGGTGGTATATTAATGTTACCAATCTACGATATCTCACGAAGGAAATTTGTCAACTCCCTGACACTATTGGGATAAAATTGTATTTAAATCACCCAATCGTATTACTTTGAATTAACAGTTTTTTCGTCATTTTTTTTACTGAAGTAAATAAAAGCTGCAACACATACCATTTATATCAATGAAAGCAAGGAACTTTAAATTAATTTCATTTCAATAATGTGAAGATAATGCTGATCTTAAATAATCGATATAAGAAAGTCTCTCGTAAAAATAGAAAGAATTATCAAAACAACTAAAAATCCTTTTTTCTTAAAACTTTTTTTTTTATTGTCTGAAAAAAAGTGAATTATTTAAACTAAAATACTTTAAACAACATATTTTCAGTTATTCTCAACGAAACAATGTTTATAGCTTTTTTATTAAATCAAATGCTATTTTTTTTATAAAATTCAAGGCTAAATTTCATTTTTTAAAGAAAACTAAGTTGCTTAAAATCATTAAAAATTTCCAATTTTAACAATTTAAGAATTTTATTTACTTAATTTAAAATTTAATAATTTTAGTTCCAATGTTAATAATTTTATGAATTTGAAATAAGAAAAAAATTCATGCCCACGCAATAAATGGTAAAATCATGAAGTAATGTATGTACTATAGAAACGATCTTGATATACCAACATAGATAGAAAGCAATTTTTAAAAGACCATACATATAAAACTATTCTAACAGTACATGAATACACTATTTTAAACGTGTTAAATGATTTAAAGCAAACATTTGCATATATCCTTAGAAATAAATTTATTTAACGTTTTCTTGCTATCCAAAAAAAAAAAAAAAATAAAATAAAAAAAAAATCATTAAGAATGGAAATTAATAGCACGATCTATGTCTTTTTTTTTTAAAAGACAGTTGCAAATAATTTTAATTAGTCTCAGTTGAAATTAAATATTAATTTAAATTAATTGAATAAAATAAAAGTTAAGAAAAAATTTATATTTGAATTAAAAGTAATTAATTCAAATGATGCAATTGAGTGAGTTAAAAAAATTGAAATTTAACAAAGAGTGTTTAGAACGTTTGTCTCAGAAAAAAGTCTCTTGAGAAAATGACCAAGGTGAATGTCAACGGGAGTCATCCCCTTAATAGATCCCACATCTGTTTTCCTTGAACATCTAGATAATTGCCTGTTTAAGACAATTTATGAATAGATGTCCAACAAATAGATGGTTCTGTAAATATACAGGGGTCTGTCTAGGTTTTTCTGAGAGGCGCCTATTTTGTGAAAATTTAGACATAATTTGTGAAAAATTAAAAATTATATTTATAAATCAGCACAAAAATATGGTAAAAATATGGATTTATCGTTGCTTAAGGGATACAAAAATAAAATTTTAAGAAAAAGTATGTTGTGAAACTACCGTTTTTCCTAAAGTTGAATTTGTGAAGGTACCGCTAAACGGTAGTAAATTCAGCCTGGACAGATCCCTGATATATGACAGTTTAAAACAAGATAAAGCCTAGGGCCATAAAAATGATAAAGGCAATTTAAAGAAGCAAAAGGACATTTTTCCATAGGGTAAATTGAGATGCCTATTTCTTGAAAGAGTCAAATGACTATGGGTATAGTCTCTGTATGGGGTAGGAAGAAAGGTGTTCAAAGTCAAAGGATGCTTTAAAATAAATCTATTTGTCAGTGAAGGATGCTTTTTCCAGAGAAGGGAAAAGAATAGCAATTATTTTAGCTTTCTAAACATTGGTTTTAATTTTTTCACTGCGGTGCCCTTTTTTGAAGTATTTTGGTTTTAATTTTTTTAAAAATTAAATTGAAAGTTGTTAAAAGTCGAAGACAAATTAAACAAAAGAGAAGTATTTGTCTTGGGGGGGGGGAAGTTTTCTATTTAGAAAACAGTTAGGAAGTTGAAAAAAAAAAGTAGTTTCCTTTTTTGAAGTTACCAATTGTATTTTACTTTATTGTAGCGAAGGTCAAGTTTCAGAAGGGGCGAAGCACATTATCCTACTTTTCAATTAAATTTCAGAGGAAAATAATTTTCTATTTGGAAAATAGCTTTAAAGTTGAAGAAAAGAAAAAGTTAAATGCTAATTTTACTTGACTTTATTTTCGCGAATGTCTTCAGAAGGGGCGAAGCACATTTTCGCCCCCCACTTTAATTTAAGAGGAAAATAAACTTTTCTATAAAGTAGCCTCAAAATTGAAAAAGAAAATCTCTTTTATCTTTCTAAAATTGACAATTTTACTTGATTTTTATTTTCGTGATTGTCTAAATTTCAGAAGATGCGAATCACATTTTTCAACCCTCATATTAGTTCAAGAGAAAAATGAAGTTTTCTATTTGGAAAATAGCTTCAAAGATTGGAATTTTTTTTTTTTTCTCTTTTTCTAAAATTATCAATTTTACTCGAATTTATTTTCGCGAGTGTCTAAATTTCAGAAGGGGTGAAGTACTTTCTTCGTTCCCTCAATTTAATTTAAGGGGAAATAAAATTTTCAATTTGGAGAGTAGCTTCAAATTTTTTTTAAAAAATCCCTTTTTTTTTCTTCAAATTAATAATTTTACTTGTTTTTTTTTTTTGCGAATGCCTAAATTTCAGAAGATGTAGAGTATATTTTCGCCCCTTCACTTTAATTTAAAAGGAAAATAAAGTTTTCTATTTTTAAAGTAGCTACAAAATTAAAAAAGAAAATTTTTGTTCGTGTTCTAAAATTGCCAAATTTACTTGATTTCTACTTGTACGTATGTCTAAATTTCAGAAGGGATGAAGCACATTTTCACCCTCAAAATTAAATATAAAAGGAAAATAAGGTTTTTATTTATTTATTTTTAAAATAGCTTCAAAGTTGAAAGAAAAGTAATTTTATTTTATCTTGTTTTTTATAAAATTACCAATTTTAAATGAATTTATTTTCCCGATTGTCGAAATTGCAGAAGATACAAGGCCCATTAGCCCCCACCCCCCTTTGATTTCAAAAGAAAACAAAGAATTCTATTTGGAAAATAGGTTTAAAGTTAAAATATATTTTTATCTAAAATTACCAATTTTATTATCACGAATGTCTAAATTTTAGAAAGAGATTACATTTTTATCCTCCTTACTTCAATTTAAGAGAAACAAAAAGTTTTTTATATGAAGAATAGAGCTTCAAAATTGAAATTTTTTTCTAAAATGGTCAATTTTACTTAACTTTATTTTCTCAAACGCCTAAATTTCAAAAGGGGCGAAGCACATAATTCATCCCACACACAAATCACAGCACATTATTCACCCCACACATTTCTATTCAAAAAAAAAATAAATAAATAAATAAATTCTTTAAAATAAAAAAAAAAATTTGTTTCTAAAATATTCAATTTCACTAGACTTTATTTTTGAGATTGATAAAGTTTAGTGAAATTGAATATTTTAGAAACAAATTTTTTTCTCCACTTTTCTAAATTTCAGGACGAGCGAAACGTATTGTTTGCTACTCACTTAAATTTTAGAGGGACGGGTGCCCACTCTGCCCCCCCCCCCCNCACTCTGCCCCCCCCCCCCCGGTTGGTACGCCACTGTTGAGAATTGATACATTGCATTAGAAAATAATTCTAATTTTAGACACATTTTATTTCATCCAAAAAAATTTTCAGCTTTTGTATCGTTTTAAGCACCTAAATGTTAATTACAAATATTAATAGAAAGCATAAAATCGCCAAATCCCGCCAGTCTTGCATAGCGAAAGAGTGTGCTTTTTCTCGAAAAGCGTTTTGCACTAAACCTTTCATACGCGCTACGTTTGCAAAGTATATATTTATGTAGAACAAATCGAACTCGAAAAGTTGAATCAACTTGGGGCAGAAAACTTGTCAACTCTTATGAATAAATAATGTTGTAGAGGGCGCTGTGGGAAGAATGTTGTGAAATTGGCGGTAAAATTAGTAAAGATGACATGGAAGTGTGAAAGAAAATCTATTTTGATGCAAAATATTATTTATTATAAATTATTAAGAAATGTCTTTTAGATTTTTGCCATTTCAATTGAAGGACATCCACCAAGAGAACAAGGTCTTGCAACCTAATGGAATATCTAGTGATAACAAAGAAAGTTGTGTCATTTTAAGTGATAATTCATTGTAAGTTTATGTTCCATAGTTTATTCAAAACTAAATCTGATGTTGTTATTTAAGTTAAAAGTATTGTTATTCGTGTAAATAAGTATTTCCTCTAAGAGGTAAGTATTTATATTTGAAAAGAAAATGTCACTTTTTAATACAATTTAATTGATTTTTTTGTATGAAATTAGTAATTTTTCTAAAATATATATAAATTAGTACTTTGACACCTGTTGACTATTCCTAATGCAATTTGTACTAATCTTAATTTTGTTTATGTCAGTGAAGTGACTAATAATCTTGCAGGGTGCATATCTTTTTTAAAAGGTGCTTAGAGGTGCTTATTTTGGATTTACAATTTTTAAAGGTGCTTTTTTTTATTCGGAGTTTGTAAAAACTACCTAATTTTTGATAATATAAAAGGAGATTTTTTTCTTTGCCTTGTCGATTGTCGTCATAAATTACAAAAAAAGCAAGATTTTTACAATTTTCTCAAAAATATTCATCAGAAATTAGTCAAGTTATCATGATTATGTAAAGTTTTTGGAAATGATTTTTGCATTTTGTTTATTTTATGTTCAGAAATTAAGTACTTTAAACGATAGAAAAAAATAATTTTTTTTTACTGTACACATCCTACTTATAATTTCCATTGGAAAGTGCTTAAAATATTTTTTGAGTGCTTAAAAGGTACTTATTCTTTGTTGGAAAAAACTAGCTATGCACCCTGTCTTGTACAAATTATTTGTTGCAAAACATTTTTATGAGAGTTATTTTTTATCTCACTAAATAAAATTTGTAGGGGGGTGAATTCTATTTTAGTTTATTTACAAATTTCTAAGTAATTTAAGTAAATAATTTTAATAGTAAATAATTTATAAGTAAATAATATTTTATCTTTCACTGCAAAATCTGCACTGCTGAACCTAAACATAAATTGAGTAAAAATATACGTAAATTGTAATTAAAAGTTGTCACATGCTGATAATTCGAGAAAGGCTGTAAACTAGATTGGTAACTTTCTGTTACTTTTATTTTTAATATTTTAGACAGTTCAGAGATCAAGCTGAAAGTCTTTATGGGCAACTTATGTCCCACGGGCTAGAAGTTTTCTATTCCTGATAAAAATATAAAACATTAGTATAGTTTTAATCGCAATTAACCATAAAAATATTTACTTATGTTGTTCAGCCAAATATTTATTTCTTGTTATTACAATTCAATGATTCTTATATTGTAATTATAATTATTTTTAAAAAAATTTAATGAGCAATTATAATATTTTACCACCATACTCTTTTTTCAAGCTCTTTTTATTCACCACCATTCTCTCTTTTATTTCACCACCATACAGGAGCTTTTCGCTCTTCGCCACACCAACCAACTTATTATTAAATTTTTTCAAAATTTTGTTAATAAATATAATTTGTTACATTTTTTTTTCAAAATTGTAGTGTTTTATTGTTACTTATGATTTGGAATTGGAAACTTGTAAGAGTGGTGATGCATTAACTATGAACATGAAGTTATAAGGACAATGATTCTTTTTAACTTATCATCTATTATTATAAACTATCTTAAATATTAATAAAAAACAATCTTAAGATTAAGCACCAATCTGTAGGGTTCGCACCAAGAATGAAAATTTAGTGATCGAATGAAACTACCTTAATATTCATTTAGTGGTCCAAAAATATTCATTTAGTGGTATTGTAGTTAAATTTTAGAAGAAAAATCGAGCACTGCCATGATATTGTACACAATGTAAAATTATTAATTACCATTTATAATATCCTAAAAGTAATTAGGTTCATTACCCTATAATGATTGAATATTAGTTGCATTTACTAAAATTTAGTGAAAAAACAAAACAAAATTAATATTTGTGAATAGATTCAACATAGAGATTAAAATGCTTAGACCATATAAATAAATATTTTTTGCTCTTTTAAAATTGACTTTATTTAAAATTTCATAATTTTTAGATAGTTAATTGTTAATATAATGTTTTGTTAATGAAGAAAACAGAAAGTAAAACCTAGAATTTTAGAATCGATTTTATTTAAAATTTATTATGTTTAGATAGTAAATTGTTAGCTCTTACTTTCTCGGCTTTTCTCATTAACAAAATATTATATTAACTATATAAACATTATGAAATTTTAAATAAAGTCAATTCTAAAAGAGCAAAAAATATTGTTTTATTGATGAACAATTATACTGTCAGTACATAAATACAAAGCACAGCACAACATGTAAATTTGGAATTTCAATATTTTAAAAATTTTTGTACCACATTTTCAGTTATTCCATTTGAATACCATGCATTTAAATTTCATTCCATTTGTAAAATAAGACAAAAATTAATATAAAAAGTTTTTTTAACTGCGTGGAAAAAAATATTTTTTGTTAATATTTCGTAAATTCCAAATATTTGACGGTGACAAATTTGTCATTTATGCGTATACTTTTAGTCGCATTTGACAACAATTGTCTCCATACTGACATGAACGCTTACTAATACATAAATGAGATATATACATAATACTGAGAAAGACTGGACTAATCAAGTCCAGTCTTTCTCAGAGTGACAGACTAGTGTTACAAGTTTGGTTTGAATTTGTAATTTCTTATAAATTTATGTATTGTAATGTAATTTCTTATAAATTTATACCAGGGTGATTTTCTCAAATCATTAACTTTTGCCTAAGCCAATTAGGAAAAATTCATCTCATAATTAACTTGATAATTTTTACATTAAGACTAAACATTTAAGTAATAAATTTAAGTGTTATTGCGTAGAAAAATATGATTACTGTCATAAAACACTTTAAAAATTCATGAAGAAAATATTAATTTTTTTTTTTTATGAATCAAAAATTAAAATTTTAATGGAAAACATTTTAAATATTTCATTGAAAATTTAATTAATATTTTTAACACTATTGTGTTTTTAATTTCAATATGTGTATTTTTTCACAATTTATTCTATAGTAATTAAGAAGCATAATTACTTGTTTTACATTTTATGATATAATTTGTATATTTCATCTAAATTGTTGAAGGTTTTGAAATGGGTATAAATTAGCTTTAGTGGCATTTTTTAAATGACACATAATTTCATTTATTGTTTCTCTTGTACATGCAACCAATATAATTTTTTATCCAAGCAGCCCAGTAAAATTTTAACTAACTTATATATAAGAGAGTTCTCCCTAGGAATAAAAAAGGGCACTTTGAGTTTTGAAAAAGCACTCACTTAGCACTGTAAAAATTTATCAAAATGCGTAATATTATTTAATAACTGAATTATATCCTTAACAGTTTGTAAATTATCCTCTTACATTATTTTATGTGTTTATTTCAAAAAGTAATTCTCTCTCAATATCTATATCATTTAATCTATATTATTTAATAACTGAATTATATCCTTAACAGTTTGTAAATTATCCTCTTACATTATTTTATGTGTTTATTTCAAAAAGTAATTCTCTCTCAATATCAAAATGAGAGAAAAATTTGTGCACATATATTTTTTTTTGAAAAAAAGTAAAGAAAAATGATTAATTGATAAACTAAAAATTTCTTAAAGCTTTCTTCTATTATAATTTAAACTGAAAATAATAAGAAAATTATCATTTAAATGTAAATTTTTTTAAGAAAAGGTATTTATTTAAGAAAATAGTTTGAAAATTTAAAATCGCTTAATAATTTTATTTATACAGCCCCCCCCCCCCNGCCCCCCCCCCCCCAAAAAAAAAAGAAATGATAGTTTAACTTGTTGAGAATAATCTTAACAAAGTCATTATTTATAATAGTGATCAGAATTAAACCTATAAACACAGAGAATTTTAACCATTGTGTAATTATTATTTAAGCAGTGAATTAATTTTTTTCAAAATGGAGTATGAATAAAAATGCAGTGTTCTTAAGGGAAAGCAGCGTATTTATACAAAAATGAGACAAAGAGGGCTCATTTATTGGGTTTAAAGGGCAAGCAGGGTGGGCCACCCTTCAAAAAACGCTTAGGGAGAACGCTGTATGTATAATTATTCAGCAAGTAATTGAAACTGAAGTTGCAAATTTCTATCATGCTTAAATAAACCTGTAAAGAATTTTTTATTTTTTTTAAGTAACCGAATTCTTATACTCAAAATTTTTCAAATGAAAACTAACCAAAAAATAAAAAAAATCAAATTTACAAAATTATTAATGTTTTTAATATTATAACTCAGTGGCGTACGCAAGGGAGGGGTTTAGGGGTTTAAACACCCCCCTTGAGCACAGACAAAATGAAAAAAAAACAAAAATTTTAGTAGAAATTATGCGAGCTATTATTTTTTAAGACAATATATTTTTATCTACCTTATGCCTACTTTTTTTTTCTCACGGTATTTCTCAGAATACTGAAAAAACATTTACTATAATAGGGTTGTACTTTTGAAACCAAATTCACGTGATACTGTTACGGACTGGTTCCTTTCTGCCTGCCAGTATAGTTTTCGGGACTGGCTGTCATTCGCGAGATCTTTACGCAATGATTCTGGAATCCTAGACGTTCTGTCGTCTTTGAGACAATTCGAGAATTTTGGAGATGCGGTTAAAAATTATATAAAAGGGGGAACGGAGTACAGTGGATGATGTAATATCAAATGATTAGGGGCCCCCTTAAAATGGATTTGTTTGAAAATAAATTTTAAAATATTAAGAAAAACAATGATTTTTTTTAAGAAAATCAATTTTAAATATATATTAAAATTTTTTCAAAATGTTATGATTAAAATTTAGTTCTAATTTAACAAAATAAAGTAAAATTCAATTTATTATTATTTATTTTAATTTTAAACATGCTTTCTGAAATGAAAAGATATATAAATACTTTTATATTTGAATAAATAAAAAATATACGAGAAAAACAACTTAATCGAAGGGCCCCAAAAATTTGAATGGCCTAGGTCCCCGCGTACGCGCCGGCCCTGAGCATAGCATTTATTTCTGTGCCAATATATATATTTACTGTT